CAGCCCTCATCCAGTCCTAGGTATTCTTTCCTCATTCTGCTCAAGAGGTAGCATGGAGGGGTAGATATAAGGGAAGAATAAAGTCTCTGTCATGCAGCCACCTTGGCTTGCAAGTGCTCCCCAGACTTGTACACCATACCCCAAATGATACCAATATCTGCTCAAATAAAATGATACACAGAAGCAAAGAAGTCATACCAATGCTGTCGGCTTTTTACTTAGTTGACATTAAATATTCCCCAAATCACAGACTAAAGAGTGCCCTTGCTCAGCTAATCTCACGTCCTCCAAGATCCAAACTGCTGTCTTTTCTCCTTGGAGACAAAGTAATCCACTCTGAGGTCTGTTTATACTGGAACAGTCTGGTTCTTTTCTTAAAGTACTGAGACTTATAGACAACCCCCAGCTTTTGGCCTGGATGCTAAGGCAGTGAGAAATGGAGCGGACTCCAGGACTACAGCAGTCAAGGGTCCGTTCCCCACCAGCTAAGTCAGGTGGCACCATACTCAGAAATGCTTTGGACTCCCAAGGTTTCTGCTCATAATGATCTGGCATGAGGCACTGACTCAAGAGTACCTGCCCTCGCTTGCAATGGGGCTGGAGCTGGACCCATGTTCACTATGGAGAGCTCAGCAACCCAGATGAAACCATTCTCCAGCTTCTCCTCATTACTAGTCTTTACCACAGTGGTCCTTTAAAAGATACTTTTAAAACATCCTTGTATTGACATGCACTTTCTTCCCATATAGGACGCAGGAAGAATAATTTCCTTTAATTTCTGATCAAGGTGATTATTCTGCAGACATGCTGCAGTATTTTCTTTCTTCCTTTTTTTTTTCAACATAAAAACCCCCTATGTTGTGTCCACTCGTATTAATACAGTTGTACATTTCAAGTTTTAGATGCGCTTTCTCATCCCTATCCCACAGACCACAGAGCACAGAAAACATTTAGGTCATCCAGAATTTTTCTCCTCTAGAAGTCTGGTATTGACTAACACCCAACGCAGACATGAGCCCTTCATCTGCAGCTGTCACTGCTGAGGGCAGGTGCATTCTCTGGCCTGCAGTGGTGACTCTATCCTCACTTTCTCTTTGAAAATCATTCCTGGGACATTGGCATGCCGCTGTATTCTTCCAGCAGCAGCTGACAGGCCCCCTCCAAGGCAGGCCTCATGAAGGTATGTGGGCTCCAGTGGTCCCCACCCTCAGCAGCTGTTTGGATTGCATCAGGTGGTGGCTTCTGGGTGTTAAGGGAGACTCAGCCACCAGTTTGCCCATGGCTCTCTATTCATCCCCAGATGATTTCTCATTTACATCACTTCCCCCTCCCAGCCTGCTCCAATGTTCAAGAGAACTTGAACCATGTACTTCGATGAGTTTGTTCTTGAATTGAACACTTTTCTGAACTGAACGCTATGAAGTTGTAGGGCATTTTCCAAATCCGAGACAAAGGCAGGAATTCCTCACTCTCCAACCCTTCAATTTCTCTTACCATGGTGTAACTAAAATGGAAAGCCAGGCTGATATTTAAAGATTGATCTGGAATTGTATGATTTGATTTCTGCCCCTGTTTCAATGCTGAATGAGCAGTGCAGGAAAAACCAGGTGGGCACTGGCAGGAGAAAAAGAAAATGTGTTTTCACTCTCATTTCCATGAGTATCCAGATCAGAAAAGTAGTCAGGTTCTCATAACCAGATGAGTGAGCCCAGCTGAAAGGCATCACCGTGTGATTCCCGTCTCGGAGTTCTCAGCTTGCTCTATTCTTTATTGCCCAAACAGTCATTGTGTGTCAATTCCATAGCTGTCTTTCTGTATTTGTCAAGAAGGTGCCATTTCTGGATACTGTGTTTGAAAAGAGTAATTACCTTCCCTACTACCCTCCACCTTCAACTAAAGATTTTTTGTTTTGTTTTCATGAATTGGCTCCAGCCACCCACCCCCTGCCTAACCAGGCAGAAGCAGGTCCGCTGGAGGTGCATCCAAGCTCTGGCAGAGGTGATCCCTCTTAGGCCACACTTAGGGTTTACTTCTGCCACTTCTGAGAAATATTGAGCATTCCCCCACGAAGCATATATAGTTTGGAAGGGAAGATTTTGGGAAAAAGAGCACAGGACAGGATTATGTCATTGAATCTGCCTCAAATTAAGAACCAGACTCGGCTAAAAAACAGAACTAAGAGAGTGGTTGCCCAACTCTAACAATAATTAACCCCTCACTTCCTAATAAAAATTCAAACACACCCCTTCTCGTCAAAGATTTCTGTTCAATCCAAGGGCTTGGCCAAGAACAGAAAGCTTCTCTTCATGTGGAGACAGATGGATATCAAATGTCTCATCAGAAAAAAGGAACACAGTTTCTCCAAAATTTTGATTATTAGAAATTATATCTATGGACAATAGATATAATTTTGCATTTTATAGTTCATTTCAATTTATAGTTCCCTTTGTCTATTGAAAGTAGGAAGCCCAGATGATCATGAGGTTATATTAGGACTTCAGAAGGATCTTTATTTCAAATCATTAAAAGACATATATCATTTCTATAGAATATCAAAGCAACAAGTAAATATAGGGTGCTGGCAATTAGGCATTTTTTAGGTAACAGAGAAAAATCTATATTAACTTCTAATGGACACAGAGTCATGAAAAATTGTGTTCCATATGTGTACTACGAATTGAAATGCATTCTGTTTTCATGTATAACAAATAAGTTAATTAATTAATTTTGGAAAACAACTTATACATAACTTCTAATTCTGGTTCTAATAAGGCTTAAGTGTAAAAACCATCACAATAAATTTCTTCTCCTTAAAATGCTTTTCCAAGGATTAGCCAAATTTTTAAAAATCCTACCATTTTTTCTATGAATAAAGTTCCACAAATGAATTATATAATTATGGACTAAACTTTTTTCTCCAAGGAAAAGGTTATTGATCCTCTAGAGTGTTATCACTACTACATTTGAATATTGAGCATTAGGTAAAAATTTATTTAAAACTTTTCATTTAAAAGGTTTATTTTTATAAAAAAAAATGTAACTTGTCAAGAAAAATGTGAGACTAAATATGACCAAAACACCTTTGCTGTAGCAAAACATCAAAGGCTGAATATAATTTCTGGCCAGGAACCCATTCCAAGAAAAGATAAAATTAGCTTAATTGTTCTTCTGGCCAATGCAGGAAACTGGTAAGAGAATTTCAAACAACAGCTTCTGTTCCCTGTCTTTTTTTTTTTTTTTAATGATGTAGAGCAATTGCTCGTCTAATGAAGGGATTCGGTAAATAAATTACACATTACTTTCAACTGATTACTCTGATATAGGGAAATTTCCATCCCAGCAATTGCTCTTCAGAAATGAGACAAACCTCTTGCTTGCAGCAGCCCCCACAATAAACACATGCTTACTGTTAAAATATTGATAAAGTAAACGTGATGGGAATAGAGCACAGGTGCAGTGCAAAGCTCTGCATTATCCTTGATCACCATTCATTTCCATCCTACACACACACACACACACACACACACACTCATACCTGCCAAAATTCACTTAAATTTGTTAATATTTCTTGCCCATTATTTGGTAAAGAACAGAGCATGTACCAATGCCATCAGAGATGCAAAATAGTTACTGAGTTTCTGCAATAAGTATTTTTGCTCACCTGCTCTAGTAAAACTATATGGAGGTCAATAAACACAGAAATGGTCACAAAGCTTCTCAATACTGAAACAGCCACAAACATTTAACTCTCTGGGAAGCTTAAGGTAGAAAATCAAAGTAATTATAAAGTACTAATCAACACTAATGATTCTTTTAAAGATACTTACAGTTTAGATCGCTATAAGGATCCTACTTTCCTCTCTGCTGGGAATGGAGGTTTGGGTATCTTCAGGCCCTCCCTTCCCACACTCCCTTTGTTTTGCCAAAGTAAATGAGTTTCAGTAATAAACTCCCAAATATCCTGCCTTGAGAGAAAGACGTCACCTTCACGTTTGGCTTCAATGATGGTTTAAAGGCATCATAAATTATGCATTTCCTTCTATGCCAGGCCCATAAAAAGTGCTTTCATTGTTCATTAAAGAGATTGCTTCTAAACAAGCACAGGCTTTTTTTTTTTAAGTGTGAAACAGAAACATTTCTATTATGTTTGTGACTGCTATGCTGAAGAACCAAAACAGTTTGAAATTAGGAAAGTATTAGAGTCTGTTGTTCCAGAATGTGTAGCAATTGTCAACATACACAGTGAAATTATCAGTCATTGTTTAGCTGGCAATACAGTAAAACATACCAGGCCAACTGCTAGTCTCCTCCCAGGAGAACAATAGTCTGCAAACCTCACATCGCCAGCAACAGTTGGGGCTCTCCCCTTTCTGCCTCGGCTCCAATTTACAGATGTGAAAAGAGATTAGGGACACGATATACACTAGGATATCCCTTATTGCTGCACAGAGCAAGCACTATTCTGAGGATAAACTGAACATTTGCAGAATCCTCCCTAATTATCTCCTGACTTCCTCACTAGGGTTTTGCCACTTCCAGCTGAAGTACCAGTCCTCAGGAATTATGTTCTTTGTTTTTCAACAACAGATACTGCATCTGCACAAGACTGGGTTCTTTTTTTTTTTCCAAGGAGGACCACACCCATTTATCCCCTATCCTTCAGGAGCAAACTGCAGATTTTGGCTGAATTTCCAACATCAGACCAAAGGTACCAGAGCTGGACACATGTGACCCCCACTTCAGCTGGGTCACACACACCCCCGCCAGTTCTATAACTTATATGACTGTGGTTGGAAGGCTGTCGAGGCAGATTTATCACTTTAAGAACCAGCGTTCCAGAGATTGGGGGCGGGGGGCGGGGGAAGGCGGAGTACAGCCCTAACACCCTGCCAACTAAGTGACAAAGTTGTCTTTTCCTCCTCTGCTGCGACACCCTTTCCTTTCCATCAGCGCGCGCGCGCGCACACACACACACACACAACCTGGCTCCCTTGACTTACCAGTTTAGATTTGGCGCGTTGCAAAAATTCTTCCATGTCTTTGCTGGGGATTTGAACCAGAGGTACCCTGTGGAGGGGGACGCAGATGAAGACCTCGGTCTCGGGTACATGAGCTGGGTCTCCAGAAAGTGGTCCACCGGGGCGCAGCTACGGGCTGCTACCTCCGGATTCTCGGAGGCCGCTCAGGTTGTGGTTGCACCCTGAGCTATTTCGTCCCAGGGCTCCCCGCCCCACCCCCGAGCCCCTCCGCCAGCTCTGGGCTACGGACTCAGTCCTAATAAGGAAAGTGGGTGTGCCGCCCGGGAGCCCCCAGGGCGCGCCCCGCACGCTCGCTGGCACGCGCCTCTAGGGGCCGGTGCTCCGGGGCGGGGGGGTGCTGGGGAATGGCGAGGGGTTCCTCGGCCAATCGCAGGGCCCCACCGCGGCCTCCTGACGTGGCGAGCCGAAAGATGCTGCAACCACGGACAGCGCCCAGAAGTAAGAGCCAAGTGCAAGGGGCTGCTGCAGAGGGAGGTTCTGCCGCAGGCACCACGCTGCCAGCGAGGGAAGGTGGGAAGAGGGAGAAAGGCCCCAGGAGAGCGCCTGTCCTCGGCCAGCGCCTCCCTGGCTGGCTGGCACGGTACAGAGAGCTCCAGCGGTCACTTAATGAGCTGGTCTGCTGGCCTGACCGGGGATGCACTCAGCTAGATTGGCGCGGGGAGGGCGCGGGGGAGGTACTGCTGAGCTAAAAGCAGTACGACCTTGATGGGTAATGATCAGAAGTGTAGGCGGGGAGGTTGTTCTAGGCTGCATCTTTTTTACCTACCCTCTAAATATGCCCATCAGCAACGGATGTCCGCCATTCTTTCCAACTGGATGCCCTTATGTTGGCCCTGGCGCTAATGCATAGATATATCCTCCTGCAGTCCCTATCCACTGTCTCCTATGCCCAGGGAAGGTTGAGGCAATAGAACCTCGCTACTCAAAGTGTGGTCCGCAGACCAGTAACATCAGTATCACCAAGCTCATTAGAAATGCAGAACCATTCTGTCCCCTACCCCCAACCTACTAAATAAGAGTCTGTGTTTCTAGGAGATCCTCATATCATGTCTATGTACATTAAAGTTTAAGAAGCACTGTGGTAAATACTTAAATTTGCAGTTATGCACCTATTTGAACTCATGGAGTTTTGTGTGTACTCATTAACCTTACCAAACTCCCTCCTACATTTGATTTTTTGCATATCTGCCTGAACAACCCTTCTTGCCCTCTCCCCAGTGCCTGACTAACTTATGCGTCAAGTGTCAGCATGAATAAGTGGTCTTAAGCCTGGCTGTCATTAAAATCATATCATAATCATGTGGGGCTTTAAAAATGCTCATACCTGGGCTCTATCCCAGTCCAATTAAATCAGTATCTCTGGGTGTGAGGTCGAAGCATCAATCTGATATAAAAATGATCCTGTTGAGAGATTCTGGTTCTCATTGAAGCACATATCTGAATCACTCACAGGGCTTGTTAAAACATGGGTTTCTATGTCTCTTCCCCAGAATTCCATGCTTCATACTCTGGCTTACCAGGTGTGAGAATTTTCATCTGGAGTAACCTCCCAAAGTTTGCTGATAGTGAGGATCCAGGTACCACACTTTGAGATTTGTATTTTCTACTCTGCTATAAATTCTATTCTCCACCAGGCTGAGACCTTTCCTATTGCATTCATTGATGGATCCCTAACACGACATAATGTTCAGGCAACATACAACATATAACAATAAATACTTGTTCATGAAAATAAATGTATACATGGGAAGACGGAGTTTCTTTGCCATCTCTGAGTCTGTGTTTCTGACTATATCTCCGCACATGCGTGTGTAACTATGTCCCTCATGATCAAATTATTCCTTATTCAGAGAAATTCAATGAAAAGAAGTCAGCAGGGTCTACAGATCTGATTAAAGGAGAGTGATAGGAACATTAAGCTCCCGGTTATATTCAGGTGGTGAACTATGTGGAAGCTGCAGATTCTATCTGCTTCCTTTGCTGACTTAAGTAATTTAAAACCATCAAGGTAAAACAAGTGTTTTGTCAGCCTTTAAATCTGTGAAGGTGCACACAAGTCAAGTAACATTACTGAGAAAAACTCCTGAGAAATCCTTGCCTCTGACTTTGTTGGGGGAATTTAGTGACAATCACACAATATTGTTTTTATTTTTCTGACATTTGATTATAAACATTCCCAGCAGCTATTATACAGCTATTATAAATAATTTTTTAAATTATTTTAAACTTTAATTCCCCTCTGACATGAAACCTAATCCATTGATCAGTTCTGATGATTGGGTTTTAGACCTCTGGGAGACCATTATTCTGCATACTACACATCTCATAACCTAAGTTAATTGGTGTCAGCTTTTTGTTCTCAGTTTTCTGTAATTTCGTAGCATAATGAAATTATCTGGAAGACTTTGAAATATATTGATGTTCTAAGCTACATCTCCAGAAATTCTGAATTGAGAGATTTTGAGAGGAGCCCAAACATACCTACATGGTATCTCTACCAATGTTACATAAATGTGCAATCCCCTGTCACCCAGATACAAAACATGGAGTCCCCTTTATTATATTTTCTCTCACCTCCTGTAACCAAATAGTCCCCAATCCAATGTTTTCACTATTTAAAAAAGGCCTCCTTGGGCTGGGGTTGTGGCTCAGTGGTAGAGTGCTCGCCTAGCATGTGCAAGGCCCTGGGTTCGATCCTCAGCACCACATAAAAATAAATAAATAAAATGAAGGTTCCACTTCTTTCCTTTCTATTCTAAGCATTATCATCATAATTTAAATATCTGTATCTGAAGCTAATGCTCACCTTCTTGTTTTAGTCATCTTTTCTGTAGCTGTGACCAAAAATATCTGACAAGAACAGGTTAGAGGAGGAAAAGTTTATTTGGGGTGCTTGGTTTCAGAATTTTCTGTCCCTGGTCTATAGACCCCACGGCTCTGGGCCCAAGTAAGGCAGAACATCATGGTGGAAGGATCTAGCTTCACTCATCAAGAGTAAAACATAAACTCCAAAGGTACATCCACAGGGACCTACTTCCTCCAGCCACACCCTATCTGCCTACCGCAGTTCCACCTACTTATTACATATCAGTGAACTAATCCACTGATTAGGTTATGCCTCTCATAATCTAATCATTTCATCTCTGAAAATTTTTGCATTGTCTGATACATGAGCTCCTTCTCTCCAGAGTCATTTGCACTTGTTCAAAGAGCAATCCCATTTCCTCTTGTTCTTTATTTTTATTCTCAGGTTTCTTGATTCTTGAACTTCTCTCTTTGAGATCTTTATTGGAGCTCTCTTTATTTTGTAACTAATTGGCTTGAGCATATTAGTAGACTGGCTGCTGTGGACTGAATGCTTGCCTCCCGAAAATTCACACTGATGCCTTGATCCTCAACGTGATGACATTAGGAGATGGGGGTTTGGGGTGTAATTAAGTTTAAATGAGGTCATGAGATTAAAGCTCCCATGATAGGATTAGTGTCCTTATAAGAAGAGGAAGGGACACCAGATCTCTCCCTGTCCCTACTGCCACAGCAAGAAGTTGACCATATGCAAGCTGGAAAGATGGCACCCATCCAGAACCATTGAACACCTTGGTCTTAGACTTCTCAGTCTCCACGACTGTGAGAATAAGTGTCTATTATTTAAGGCAGTGTGCCGCAGTCCGGCTGCAGCAAAATAACCGGGGGGTGACGAACAACTTGTGTAGATTGATACAGCAGGAGTGGAAGCCCTTTATTGCAGGACAGGAGCAGTATTTATACATTCCACACAGCTTATCTAATTAGCATAAACTAGATACATCAGTCAACCAATCAGGAATCTCCACACTTAATGGCTCGCTTTTGTTACTTCTCAAACCACTCCCTCTGGCATTTTGCCAGGCACCATCCAGACTTGTTTATAAACTCTAACATTCCTCTGGCAAAATGCCAGGTGTTATTTTGACTTGTTTACAGACTCTAACATTCTGTTTATAGCATTTTATCATAGCAAATCAAGCAGACTCTTTCAATATTAGTGCTAGGAAAAAGGAAGAGATTTTCGGGACCATTTGATCCCAACCCTTCATGTTATTGAGAGGGTGTCGAGGTCCAGAGCTGTTCAGTGTCCTGATCTGGCCCACAGAGCTCCTGAGAAACAGAGCTGGGACTGAAGCTCAGCTCTCTTTCATCCCTCCCTTCAGCATTTTTGGAGTATGGACTATGACCAAGTAGATATTATGTCTAACCCAAGATGCATAAGCCATGACCCTGCCCTCAGGGAGCTCACAGGTTAATCATTGTAATACAAAGGATAAATGCAGCAATTGAGAAATGCATCAGGGATGGTATTAGTTGAGATGCAATATGGTGTGGCAACCAAGACCTGAAATCTTTGCTCTGCATGGTAGATGAAATATGGCTGCAAATTCTTTGACACTCCTCCCAATGAGAGGAGTGTCACTATATTCCCTTTCTGAATCTAAAAGGGCTCCATGACTTCATGGGCAAGAAAATATAGTGAAAGTGATATCATGTCCATTTCTGGGACCAGGCCTTAAGTAATTGACATCCTCTTTTGTCTTTTGGAACATGTGCTCTTGGAACCTAGCACACAAGCTAAGGGGGAAACCCAAAAACCCACCAGAAGAGACCTTGGGTAACAGCTCAGTTGCCAGCCATGTAGGTGAGTTAACTTAGAAATAGATTCTCCATCCCCAATCATCAATCATCCCTGCTGAACTCTGCCCAAATTCCAGAGATATGGAATTTCTTACAAAATTATGGATTATAATAAAAAGATGGTACTATCAGTCATTAAACTTCTGGGTAATTTGTTATGCAGTAACATGTAAGCAGAACACCTGACCACTTACAGGCTAAGAAACCAGGCAAATTTTTCTTTCTGATCTTTAATATCTTCATTTATAAATAAAAATTCACTTTCCATCTTACGATTGTAAAGAGTAAACGATAACATATGCAACATGCCCCATTTCTAATCAACAGCTGTCATTTTGTCATTACCAAGAATTCATTAAGGAGAGGAGAAACTCGGTGCAATAGCCTCAAGTAGAAATAAGGGTCTCCACAAAAAGAACCCAACAAAAGAGGACACTCTAGATATGTTAGAGTCTGTAAACAAGTCAAAATAACACCTGGCATTTTGCCAGGGGAATGTTAAAGTTCGTAAACAAGTCTGGATGGTGCCTGGCAAAA